ACAGAAGGATACTGAGGATACCAAGGATGACGTATGTGTGGAACTACTTAAGAAGCTAGTTTAAATATATGTCAGAACAGGAATTTGAAGGGATAGAAAAAAAGAAACATTTTTTGGAACAAAAAAGAATAGGATCTTGTGGATTACAAAGTCTCTACTACGACGATTGTATTTGCGATTACAAGGTCTCTACTACGACGATTGTATCTGCGATTACAAAGTCTCTACTACGACGATTGTATCTGCGATTACAAAGTCTCTGCTACGACGATTGTATCTGCGATTACAAAGTCTCTACTACGACGATTGTATCTGCGATTACAAAGTCTCTACTACGACGATTGTATCTGCGATTACAAAGTCTTTGCTACAACGAGCATTACGGAATTGACAACGAGTGTTCGTTGACATCACAAAATACCTTATCCTACCTTTATTTCTGTGTAGAACTGTATCTTTTCTGGTTCTTGTCTCCTCTTCAGCGTGAACATGTTGACCAGCATTCACTACCATAAAAGGATGTCTGATATTACATGGTAATATGTTCATTTTTCTTCAATTATGTACCATGCGTGATACACGCTTAGGCGATCATGTATCTTTTGATACATGACTGACGAGGCAGATTTTTCCCCCGCAGTATGTTGCCATTTCTTTCTACGGTAGACCAGTTGCCATCCAAAGCTACAGAACCAGGTCTGTCCTGCTATTTACCCATAGCTGGGAGTGGGGAGAAGAAGAGTATTCATACCTTTCCCAAGGGTATTAGCACGTAAATGAACGTAATGGATTCGACTGGAATTCGAACTCGGTTCTCCAATTCCTCAATCCGAGTACGTTACTTATTTCGAAGACGTTTTTCGCTATTCCAATACACTTTTAGATTTTGGTGCCATATTCCGAAGTATAGGGATCGAAGCAACAGAGGTATAGTTACTTACTAACCCTAATGATTCGTCAAATAGCGACCAAGTCATACTATCTGCCCCTGAGACGCTTAAAATGAATTCAAATGGTTCTACTCGCGTAAATCAATTTGTTTTGATATGAACCAAACGAATTGTTAAATGAAACGTCATTTGCCGTAGGTGTTCGTGATTAGCATGAAGTCATATGCTTACATGCCGTGGTAATTAGAGACGATTGTATTGTAGGGACCTAATAAACAGTTCACAAATGGTTAATTAAGTGATCATACATAACAAACAATGACGAATTTTCCCAATTAGACTTTGCAGGTAATTTCGCCACAAGGCCTCGACAATTTCACAATTGTTTATCGTTATCATACAATGATTTCTATTAGTATTATAGAGTTTATAGATGTGTATGCTTCTAACGAAACTCTAGGATGTTAAGAATTTCAAATTTGAAATTTGGAATTTAAAATTAGTCTTCGTTCGTTCCGTAAGAGTATCAGTATGAGATCTGATGTTCAACAGATTTTATCAAAAATCTGGCACTGATGAGAATTTCGTCGCGAAACTCTTGAGTCGGATAACCAGATAAGTCACTTGAACTATTGTTGATTATACATATTTTTTCAGTTCTAATAACATTATTATTATTATTATTATTATTATTATTATTATTATTATTAGCCAAAAACCTCTCTTGCAAACATTTTTATTAATAAATTTATTTATAAGTAAGGGTGTAAAAATGAAAAGATTCGAAATTGAAAACTTTTTCTATTTCACTGAAACAGACGTTAAGCAGTTCTAGCTTCCCTTTCTTTCATTTTCTCGCTGAAGCCAGATAGCGTCTCTGATATCTCAGTTCCGTATTTTCACGCGGTCAAAACAGACTAGTCCATCATTTATCAGGTATTGGCAGGGCGTAACAGTCGGGCAAACTAAGAAACTAACTAAGGAAGGGAGGGACAAGCAGAATCATAATAGAGATTATTATTATTATTATTATTATTAGCAGCGATGTATGTATGTATGTATGTATGTAGAGGTCCAGAGTGGCGTAATGGCTTCTAGTACAGACAACAGAATCGTTATATTCCCTTTGCAGTTGAGAAAGCCATGAATCCACTTCGCCACCCTGTCTTCTGATATTATGGCAAAAAAGGTTTCGTTCTTGGCATATCAACGTTTGGAAAAAAAGAAAGCATGATCGGTGATATTCGCTTTGCACTCGAGAAAGGCATATATCCACTTCGCCCTCTGTCCTCTGAGGTGAGGAAAAAACGGATAAGTTACCGGCATGTCAACGTTTGGCCAAACAGATCTATAAGTATTTTACTTGCCCAGTGTATAGCATCGAAAAGCTGCTACCTCCATCGTCAACCTTGAGAGCCTTTTTCCGGCTTTTTAAGAATAAGAATGCGCATATGTGTATTTTAGCTATCTGTCTCCGTACGAGGGCACATTTAAAACATAGTTTTATATAAGTCCCTACTCCCACGAGTACATGAGAGTAGAGACAAAAATTGCTTTCTTTCCCTCGGTTTTTCTCGTTGGGGCGCCCCAGCCATTAGGGAGTAGCCCTGATCCTCTCGTTTTTAGTACATTGGGGGATGTGCTACACTTATTACCCCGATCGTCAATGGACGTGTTTCTAGCAGAGCCAGCGTGTGCATTTATAAGAATGTACGTATATGGATTTGTACATCCACACTTTATGAAGGGCCGAATATAGACACTTGGTGTACTACGTGCCACAAAGTCCCCAAACCTTTTTGTATCATAGCATCAGTCAGAGAATCTACTCCTGCCTGAACTATTATATAGGTTACAAATTCCAAATCAGCAGCCAAGAGCGCTCAATTCATAAAAGAAGAGCGATAATATAGAGGAAAATAAAATATTGTTCTACAGAAGGATGATGAGAATTCTACTGACAGAGTGAGTAAGCAACGAGAAGTGTTAAAGAAAATCGTACGATAAAAGAGTCAGGAGTCAGAATCAGGAAAAGACAGCCAAAATTCCTTAGAGACAATAAGGAAGAAAGGCTTGGAAAATTTAACCGGCATGCTTACATGTTGAGGGCAAGCGAGATAAGCGAAAACAACGAGCCACTTACCTGACCAGTTTGTGTGAATAGATGGCGGAAAGGTAGCCGGGAGCCTTAGCAAAGAGAGAAAAACTGCTAAGGGATGGAAAGTTTTGGAGAACCATGATCGTCCATGCCCAGAATGGACGCTGCACTTAGTCGAAGAAAAGAAGAACAGTATAGATTTCCATCGTGTAGAAATCTTAGCTGCTGCTATTAATATCGTATTCTTGGATTCCTGGCTCCTCTGCGACTATAATGGGCGAGACAAGCAAATGACTGTGTTAGCTTAGATGAGCTTTTTGCGTTAGAAGAGTCGAACTGATGGGGGTTTATATAGTGTTGGGATTGGCTTAAAAACAAACCGTTGAAAATGAGTAGACGTTTTCTGGTTGGTCAGAAAATATTTTTATGACTTTTTCATGTTTTATTTAATTCTCGGAAGTGGATGCGCGGAACCTGTCTAAAATTAAGCCAGTCTGTGTCATTGGAATGGTTGTTATCGAGGTGAGAACTTTCGTTTTTTGTCAAAGAATGAGAGTTTGGACAGACTATGGTACTTGTGAAGGGACTAGCTGAAATAATGCTCTGAATACCATTGATAACCATTTTCAAGGAATTAAGTCGAGAGCTAGGGAAGAAGGAGGACGCATATTTTCTATGGCAATTGCTCGGACATTCAGGCCGGTAAATGTTGTTAATACTGTTTATTATAAACAGAGAATTTACTTAAATAGTTGTATCTATAAAAAAGAATGTATAAAAATGTCTTAAAATAATTGTCGGACTTTGTCTATTTCATAATATATATGTGTGTGTCCATGAATTATTGGAATTTAAAACATTTAACAATCTTTTTATCATTCATGTTACCAAGTGTCTCCTGTGTCACCCCCGTCTCGCTGGACATCTTATTTCTTGAAAAAAAAAAAAGAGACGTAAAGAACGTAAATTTCTATCAATTTCTTCTTTCTCTGAGGGAGCCATTTTAAGCATTAAGTTCCCTGTACTTTGACGTCACATCTCGTAAATATAAAATTGTACACACTCCGACTCTGCGTACATCTATAAACGATACATATGCGCATGCGTCATGCGGCTGCACAGATGATCACATAACAGCATTGGTTACAAGAAACGTTAGATAAATTTCACTGCCCATGAAATCGTGAACAATCCATAATTTGTTTTTGCCGCTTATATCTTTACCTCTAGGAAGAACTTCTTCAAAAATCCGAATAAAGATCTCTAATTAGTCATCTATGACAAGATTCAAACGTGAAAAGACATTTAAAAAACTCTTAATAATTACCCATCATTCATCAAATTGGAAAGAAACGGAAAAGTAGAAAGACAATTTTAAAAAGTTAATACTTACTTTGCCTCATCTTGTTTGTTCCTTTCATGTCTTTTTCAGCGATAGCTCAAGGGTAAAACCACCAAACTAGACTATAGAACATCATAATTTTAACCACAATGACACTAAATATTAATTACTTACAGGGATGTTCTTCAGAATCACTTTCCTGTATCTTATAGAGAATCATATATTATTTATTATAACAGAACTGTTTTTATTATGACTCCTAAAATTTGTTCCCCATCTATTTACTCAAGCCCAGTCGGGATTTTAAGCGTTATTTTTCCATGTCCCTCTCGTCTTCAATCTATCTTGTGAGTACCAAATTTTCCAAGCCGATCAGTTTTTCGTAATTTGAGCTGCATGCATCCCTTACGTGGCGTAAGTCAATATTGAGTTTTTCTTTATACAGCCTTTGAAAGAATCAAAAATCATTGACAACAAAAATTAATCAGATGTCAAAAATGGATTTTAGAATCATTAGAAAACACTTTGTCATCTTAGATTAAACATTCAGAAATCTAGCAAAAAACCAAAACTACTGGAATTTGTTTGTCTTTTTGGAGACTATAAATCTTTGCACAGTAGGAATTTTCTCCCTGCTTTATATAAAGAGAGAAATTTAGAAAATGGCCAAATGTATTCCGAATCGCTCCCAGCACCAAAATGTTGTGGACGTCAAAGATCTTCTTCTTCTTCTTCTTCTTCTTCTTCTTCTTCTTCTTCTTCTTCTTCTTCTTCTTCTTCTTCTATGTCTCTTCAAGACGTTGGCGATCATGGCTATCCAGAATTTCCTGTCCTTTGTTGCTCTTAATATACGTTATCTTTTTGTTATCTTCCCTATACCTTGTTCCGCTAACCATTTACGCAAGATCGCTAGGTAGGTTATGTTTTGTTTTCCTTGCCTTCAGTGTGTCCTGTGAGTATCATATTTTCCAAGCCCTCTTTCGTCATTATGTGCTCTAGAAAATTAAGCTGTTGCTTCTTGATTTTAAGTATAAGCGTCCGTTTTGTTTCCATTTTCTTTAAAACTTCGCCGTTGCTCACATGTTCAGCCCATGTTATTCTCAGTATCCTTCTGTAGAACCACATTTCTATTTCTTCGACTTTCTTCAACTCTGAGGAGATTGTTAAGTTTTACTGCCATATAGGAGGATTGATATTACGTAACAGTTCAGTGCTCTTTGTTTCAAAAGAAATTATTGTTTCTTCATAATTGGCTTAACTTTTGAAAAGGCATCTTTTGTTTTCCTAATTCGCCTTCGGATGTCAAAATTCTTCTCCTTCTTCTTCTATATTCCGTGTCCCTCTAGGACATTTCCGATCATGGCTCTCCACAATTTCCTGTTTTTGTAGTTACTATTGTTTTTTTTCTTTATACCGCTTTTGAAAGAAGAAATCAGTGACAACAAAAATTAATCAAATGTCAAAAGTGAATTTTAAAATCATTAGAAAATATTTGAACATCTTCTTTCTTTTTCTTCCCGTGTACCTTCAGGATGTTTCCGATCATGGCTCTCCACGATTTCCTGTCCTTTTTAGTTCTTGTCTTTTTGTTATCTCCTCTAAACTTTGTTCCGCTAACCATTTACGCAAGACCTATAGGTAGTTTATGTGTTGTTCTCCTCTGTCCCCCTTGCCTTCAGTATGTCCTGTGAGTATCAGATTTTCCAAGCCCTCTTTCTTCATAATGTGCCCTAGAAATGTCAACTGTCTCTTCCTGATGTTAATATTAATGTTTTCTCTAAAGCTTCGTCGTTGCTCACATATTCTGTTTGGTTTGGTTTATATTACTTTACGACTTATCAATCTCAACAGGTTATTTATTGCCGACAAGATTTTAGGAAAAGACGAGAATTGTAAATATAAAGTTCTTTTGTATTACCAATACAGCGGATGCGAGCACAATGTCTCTAATGTAGGCGGATTTTAAAAAGAAGGGTAGAGTTGGTAAAGCCTGGTGTTGGTGCGTTTGTCGGGAAAATTGATCTAAATACGATGATGACGTCGACAGGGGCCTGGTGTGGATTAGTGAATTGCCGTTCGCAGTGAATCTATCTTTGCCTATATAGAGAATGTCAGCAGGTTGTCTCTATGTGGGCGAGGTGTAGCGATTTGGAAGATGGTAGGTCTCGAGTGAATATGTGTATCAGTCGGTTGACAGCGGTCAGGGTGGTGACATCAACTATCTGCCAGGTGTCGGCAGCTGGCAAGTTCGCCGTGATTCTAATCCAGTCGTCTATGAGCGGTTAGGTCTTATGGGTTTATTTTGTTGTATGGCATATCAACCTCAACGGGTTATTTATTGCCGACAAGATTTTTAAGATAGGTTCGTATGAATAGAATATGTATTCTTTGTAAGAAATCAATTTGTAGATCAAGTTTTATTGATGTATTTTTTTGTAAAGAATGTTTTTGTTGAGAGTCAAATGTATTGCTGGTAATTTTTTTTCAAAAAATTTACTACTGGTATTTTTACTATAAGACTTCAATTTGGGTGTTAACTATTTGCCCATACAGCAGTTAAGAGGTGGTTCCACGCTTTTCAAAACTTTCCGATCAGAGGCCTTGCTACCGGATGTTGTTTATCGTTATATCCAGGACGTCACATATTCAGTCCTAGGTATCCTCAGCATCATGCTATTAAACAACATTTCTGTTGATTCAATATTCTTCATGTGTGGGGAGAGTGTCCAACATTCACTGCTTTTGTGATATCAACGAACACTCGTTGCCACTTTTGTAATGTCAACAAATACTCGTTGTTACTTTCGTAATGCTCATTGTAGTAGAGACTTTTTAATCGCAGATACAACTATAGTAACGACGTTGAACAATATTGGTGTCAGAGTTTTCGAATAACACTCACACTAATAGTACTTGCTCCATAATACTCGCTCGAAAGGTAACCACCAAATAATAATCTGTGTTGTGAACTGTATAGTGATCATTATAGAGTAATAGTATAGAGAATAGCGGTCCGTATATTCATCGAGGATAGAATAGAAATGGTGATCAATTAGACGCCACGCTAATTCCCATATATACATTTCCTTTACCATCACGTGGTCTACTTATTAGAAATGGAATCACCTGTATTTGCTCTCTGGTGATCTGTGTTCAAACTCCATTGTTGGCAACGACACTTTATTCCTATATAACAACTGCCATATAGGAAGACTGATATTACATAAGAGTTTATCACTCTATTCTATGTTTCTAATAAAATTTTCCTGTTTCTTAATAATTTTCATAGCTTTTTGAAGGCATCTTTTCCTATTCCAATGCGTATTCGGCTTTCGGTGTCACATTTGTGTATGGCATTAAAACGATTATTAACTATGATAGATAAGCACGTTAACCACTGAAATCGATTGACAGCCAATGTCATTCAACCAATTCATGTCAGAGATCACTATTTTAAACTATTTCAAATGATGCCTTGAGAACTACAGCACAAGGATTCAGGAATCGTGCCAGAGATTATATGGGAAATAACTGTAAAACAGGAAAATATATGAACTTGTTAGTTCAATACTGTTTTTTATATAACTATCTCAGTTTTATGACATCGAACCGCGTCACTGTACCGTGTTATATGGAACCATAGTTTTTCTAACCCACGAAATCAATGCTCTAACCATACAGCTAAAATCACTGATATCTGAATTTAAATATTAATTCATGTTTAGTTTTTTTCTTTCATTCTTTATCGCTGTTCTATTTATCGCAACTCTCAGGTCGTTTTTTGCATTTTCCGAACATCTGGTCAGCATCATCCGTACTACTTACTGGGGCACCTTGACATGGTGTAATGGTTAGCAAGCTAGAACAATTACGACTGTGTAGTGAGTTCGATCCTCAATGGTTGCGCCCATGCTTTCAGCCACGTACGCTTAGAAAATCAGTATCCGTATTGTAGGTTATAGATTATGAAAATGATATCCGGATATTGCTATAATATCAAACAGATTAATAATTAAAAACAATTAATTAAAAAAAATTACAAAATTTTATTTAACAAATATTTTCTACTAGCAGCATGGCCCGGCATTGCCCATGCTTGATTCAAAAATCGTACGACTCATACAGCAATCGCTATCACTTGACTTAAAATATTTTTTGCCATTGCCTTTAAAGGAGTGTCCTTTGCCGTGCTGATGTTGCTACATGACTTACTTCTTGCCTATCTCACACTGCGAATTTTTTTCTAAGCTCTATATTAAACATTAAATCTGTTACGAAAAAATAACTAAACAAAATGAACACAAAACGATCAGCTTTAAAAAAGGACTCGTAATTGGAATAACCGAATGAAAAAAGAATGTTAACAACAAATACTTTTTCACACACAACCCAGTTCTGAGGAATCAGAATCAACGTTGAGTTTAAGCAAGCGAATGAGCCAATTGGATTAAAGTGCCATGCAGATTTAAATTTTTCCCACTTGTGACGAATGCATCTATCAATTTTTTTTTTGCATGCTAGTTAACATTCGTGTCAGTCAGCTGTTGGCTCTCACGCTGGCTAGCAGAAAATAGCCGCAAACTACATGAAAACTGCCGTAGAAGCATGAAAAAATCGATTATCTTCACTCTCGATGGGAGTTGGGAAATGCAAAGTCGGTCTTGGCCTTCCCGCTAACTTGGAGCATGTGCATGTAAATTTTGGTGCAAATCCGTCGAAAATTGAAGCCGTGCATTCGTTACACACACACACACACACACACACACACACACACACACACACACACACACACACACACACACATCCTGCCATTTATAGATAGAGATCATCTAACCCTCACCCTGTAATAGTGTGATATTTGTCCTCTAACGAATTTCGCTGGGTGCACCGTACTGGGAACTTTGGGCTACACAAAGCTAAGTGTAATAGGAGGGGAAATTTTTTTATACTAATGTTCACTCAATACAAAACCCAAGAGCCGCTCAAGGTAGAAAATTACTACATGATGTTGTATGAGCTTAAAAAAAGGCCAGTTCATTTGGTTATGCAGGAAATATAACAATTAACACTAGACTTGAAGAGGTTAAGATTGTAATGACTGGGAAAACATCCTGCCGGAAGTCTGTTCCACATAGGAGCAGTTCTTGGGAAGGACCTGTCCGAACGGAACTTCTTACTATTTGAATAGGAAAAGGATGGAGATGATTCACACTTGTGTAGGTGGTATGACGGGTCCCAACTGTAAAGGTCAAGGCTGGTGGGTCTAAGGAATGTAGCTCGTCAGAAAACATTTCATGGAAATAGCGATAAATGCCATTTTCCAGAAGGGACCCAGGCGCCATTGCCCATGGTCAACTTTTTCGTTTTATTTTCCTGGTAATATTAAACGGTTGAATAATTTGCACATAGAAATCTCGAAAAGATACTTGTAAGTCGACTTATAGGAATTCTTAGCAAATTGTAAGCGATCTGGGATTACAAAGGAAATATTTTGCCGCAGATTATTTCTACGTCACAGAGAATAAATCACTAAGTTCAGACTCGGACATCGGGGTGCAGAAAGAAATGCCGAAAACTCGTTTTGCAGGTACTATCTCACGAATCACAATGCACGCAACCAGTCAGAAAATAACTCCTTCTCCAACAAACACAGTAGCCAAAATACCCGAATTTTCCTTCCTCGATTCGAGAACACCAACTGCTTTTATCAGCCGAGCATTGTTTCCATTCGTCGACAGCTGGGAGAGGATGTTCAGCAATTTGCATTTCAAAATACTTTTATAGCGACTCCTGCGACGG